TTTTTTTTTTTTTTTTTTTTTTTTGGTGACTAGCCGGTACTGGGATCATTTCTGTTCACCTGTGCATAGAATCCCATGCACAGTTTTAGCCACTTCTCTGGTCTCTCCTATTCTAGGAAGCATATTAGAATGGAAATGGATATTATTACCTCAATGACTTAGGGGTTATTTTAATTTTTAAAAGGCAAAATCTTTAGAAAACTTCAACACTTTTTTTTTTTATTATTTTTAAAGCTGATAAGAGGATCTTAACCTTTGAATTGGTGTTGTCAGCACCACATTCACCCAGTGAACTATCCGGCCATCCCTATACAGGGATCCAAACCCAGGGCCTTGGTGTTATCAGCACCACACTCTCCCAAGTGAGCCATGGGCAGGCCCCTATTTTTAAATTGTTAAAACTATTGTCAAAGTGCTTGTGTCACTTTAAAAGTGACCCTAGTGAATTGCATGTCTAAAGTACTGGCTGTTAATATACTGAAAAGACACCTGAATGGGTAAGAATCTGTGCCACTCTAGTAACAAAGATTTTTCTAGTGTCCACAGGCCACTCTTCCAGATAGTAGAGAAACTCTTTAAGGAAAAGGTGTGACTTTTTGTGGTGAAATAGGAGTAGATCCTGCCTTACTGTTTCTAAAATAAAAGATATATATCGGGCTGTAAATCTGAATATGAAAAAATACTTCACTCAAGAATTGTGACACGAATGAATGTATCTATGCTCAGAATACTTATTGAGTGCCCACTATGTGTCACTTTGTTCTGGGGCTGGAGATATAGTAATTAAAGCAACAAATAAAATTTCCTGCCATTCTTGAGTTTATGATTCAGAGGTGGAGATTACTTTCTAGTGGTGGAGGTTATATTCTAGTGAAATGGTGATTTGCAGCATTGGAGATTTTTAGATTGCGCGATTTAGTTTTCTTTTGATCTTAAAATACATTGTTGACATCACTTTTGTCAGAAGAGCAGTTCTTGTGGGTCTCCTTGATGATCCGTACAATTGAGGAATTTAAAAACATAACAATGCCTTAGGTTTGGAATGGATGGACCTTAGTTGTGATTTTTTTTTTTTTTTTAAATTTAACAAAGTTTATTTGAGCAAGAAAAAGGTTCTAGAACCAGGCAGCACTCCAGATGAACATAGTTCATAATGCACTCCCCACTCCCCCATGACAGTTTTAATTCCTTTGTTTTACTGATGATAAAAATGAAGTGACTTAACTAAGTTTACCTATTGCATTACTGAGAAATTGAAGAGTAGGCCTTAGATGTCCTTTCCTTTATACTTTCCTTATTCATATTTCTCATGTTTTCTGGGCTTCTGAACCGGAGTCTGAGTCATGAGAAATAACATTTGCCAAAAGTGCAGATGGTGCAATGAGTTCAGGGACCACTGTAAACTGGGGTGATTTGATTAATGAGAAAGCATGGCTTGGTGAAAGCAGTATTCCTGCGCTCTAATCCTGGCCTGTTCATTAAAGAAAAGATTTTAACCTGAGCCCTAAATTCCTTGTCTTTAAAACGAAGGGATAGATTAGTTGATGGGAACATTTGCATAGTACTTTGAGGCCTTTAAATGTGCATTTGTGTAAAGAGATTTACAAAGTGCCTGGCACAGCGTGCTAAAAAAATGTTATTATTAATCACACAACCTCACACAGATACCATTTTGCAGATAAGAAGTTGAGAATTACAGAAATGAAGCAAAATTTCCAAGATCTGTCAGTTACAAAACGGCGAAACAGGCGAAGAAGCCAGGATTTCTGATTGCACTGTTTTCTTTGTAGTTTAGCCATAAAATTAATTTACAGGAATTCGGACTTGATGTAAAACCAGAAAGATGAACAGAAACAGTATAGAGAGAAGAGGGAAATATTTCACGCAGAAGCAAGCTATAATAAGCAGGAAGGAAGGGTTTTAGGAGGGGAATGAATGCGTTTCGGCTAGTCTTTGCCAGGAGGCAGCTTTTCTCACTGCAAGAGGAATGGAGAGGGAAGGAAAATGTCAGGCTATTGAATCTGGGAGCCCTTGGAAGTTCTTGATCAGAGTGGTGGCATAAGGTTGACAGCATTTTATTATTAATCTGGTTGTGGAGGTGGGATTGGACCTCCAGAGGCAAGTTAGGTGGCTGTTGCTAGAGTCGAGTACAAGAGAGGGCCTCCAGTATGTTGAGGTAATGAGACCTGGGAGAAATGTGTTTTCTTAGTCAACAGACAGCGTTCGGGGAGAATGCAAACTGTTTTAAAAAGGGACTGTGAGTATTCGTTTTCTTTTAAAAGCAGCTACTACAGAGGCCTGTGAGGCCAAAAGGGCGTTTGGAGTTAAAGCACGGTTAGACTTCTGGCTTTGTCATTTTCTAGTTTTGTTACCTAGAGGAAGTCACCTAACCTCTCGAGCGTCGGTTTCGTTTCCTTTAAATTAAGGGTGACAATTCCTACATGGTAGAGCACGTGTGCCCGAAACCAGACTCTTTTAAGGCATCTAACAATGGCGCTCAATGTTGGTTCCCGCCGACCCCCATGTATCCTTCGGGCATGTATCCTAGGGGCTCAGCAGCCTAGAACTGCCGAGGTCAGGAAAGCGGTTCTACCCGGGACCCCGGGCAGGCACTCCCGTCCCGAGCTGGGCTGGCCTCCGAACGCGCCCCAGCGCGGCCCCAGCTTCGCACGTGATGTCGGAGCATCCCCGGCCAGCCGGCGGGACAGATGCTTCCGCGCCAGAGGGGCTCCGGGGCGCGCGGTAGCCCCCGCCAGCCGAGGATGCCCAAGGGAAGCGGGGAAACAGGGCGGAGAGGCGGCGACAGCGACCGAGGCCGCAGCGGCCAACCCGCTCACTCAGCCCGCCCGCCGGCGAACTCATCGCGGGTGCTGGGCCGCGCTGGCCGCGTTTGAAGTCTCCGGCGCGGCCGCTGATTGGCAGGCGCGGGTCACGTGCGCCAGGCAGGAGTTTCCCCGAGAAGCCAGGATTTCTGATTGCACTGTTTTCTTTGTAGTTTAGCCATAAAATTAATTTACAGGAATTCGGACTTGATGTAAAACCAGAAAGATGAACAGAAACAGTATAGAGAGAAGAGGGAAATATTTCACGCAGAAGCAAGCTATAATAAGCAGGAAGGAAGGGTTTTAGGAGGGGAATGAATGCGTTTCGGCTAGTCTTTGCCAGGAGGCAGCTTTTCTCACTGCAAGAGGAATGGAGAGGGAAGGAAAATGTCAGGCTATTGAATCTGGGAGCCCTTGGAAGTTCTTGATCAGAGTGGTGGCATAAGGTTGACAGCATTTTATTATTAATCTGGTTGTGGAGGTGGGATTGGACCTCCAGAGGCAAGTTAGGTGGCTGTTGCTAGAGTCGAGTACAAGAGAGGGCCTCCAGTATGTTGAGGTAATGAGACCTGGGAGAAATGTGTTTTCTTAGTCAACAGACAGCGTTCGGGGAGAATGCAAACTGTTTTAAAAAGGGACTGTGAGTATTCGTTTTCTTTTAAAAGCAGCTACTACAGAGGCCTGTGAGGCCAAAAGGGCGTTTGGAGTTAAAGCACGGTTAGACTTCTGGCTTTGTCATTTTCTAGTTTTGTTACCTAGAGGAAGTCACCTAACCTCTCGAGCGTCGGTTTCGTTTCCTTTAAATTAAGGGTGACAATTCCTACATGGTAGAGCACGTGTGCCCGAAACCAGACTCTTTTAAGGCATCTAACAATGGCGCTCAATGTTGGTTCCCGCCGACCCCCATGTATCCTTCGGGCATGTATCCTAGGGGCTCAGCAGCCTAGAACTGCCGAGGTCAGGAAAGCGGTTCTACCCGGGACCCCGGGCAGGCACTCCCGTCCCGAGCTGGGCTGGCCTCCGAACGCGCCCCAGCGCGGCCCCAGCTTCGCACGTGATGTCGGAGCATCCCCGGCCAGCCGGCGGGACAGATGCTTCCGCGCCAGAGGGGCTCCGGGGCGCGCGGTAGCCCCCGCCAGCCGAGGATGCCCAAGGGAAGCGGGGAAACAGGGCGGAGAGGCGGCGACAGCGACCGAGGCCGCAGCGGCCAACCCGCTCACTCAGCCCGCCCGCCGGCGAACTCATCGCGGGTGCTGGGCCGCGCTGGCCGCGTTTGAAGTCTCCGGCGCGGCCGCTGATTGGCAGGCGCGGGTCACGTGCGCCAGGCAGGAGTTTCCCCGAGAAGCCAGGATTTCTGATTGCACTGTTTTCTTTGTAGTTTAGCCATAAAATTAATTTACAGGAATTCGGACTTGATGTAAAACCAGAAAGATGAACAGAAACAGTATAGAGAGAAGAGGGAAATATTTCACGCAGAAGCAAGCTATAATAAGCAGGAAGGAAGGGTTTTAGGAGGGGAATGAGTAGGAATTGGGTCACATTGATCGCGACCCAGGCGAGGGTTTGCGGTGAGGGGTAATTGAAGAGGCTGTACCGTTTTTTTGCTGTCAGAAGACAATACGTTATTTAAAGAAGGCATTAGCTACTGCGATTTAATTCGTATTGCTGGGCGTAATGCCCCCTTCCCCATTCCCGGTATATAAATGTTGGCTGCATTATTGTGTTGATCAAGGAAAAACCATGAAATCCTCTTTAGGAGTAAAGGATGTAATTTAATTTTTTTCTTCTTCTTCAGAAGTATGTGATTGTAGAATACACGATAGATTAAATTTCTTTTTTGCATATGGACGTCTGGAAGGGTCAGACCAAGGTTTTCTTGAGTGTTTTTATTCCAGTTCTCTAATATTTTGTAGATAACTAGTCGGAGGAGGTAAGCCCAGTCCCAGGAACACATTTTTATTGAAAGTATCGGAGTATCTTCAGTTTGATTAAATGGCAACCTATTAGATAAATGAGATAAAGTGATTTCTGCCTATTTTCAGTCTTAAGCTTATTTTATAGTAAGCTTACAGTATAATAACTCTTTCAAAAAACCACTTAATTAAGTGGATGAAGAGAATCACCCAGGAAATTCAAAGTCAGTTGCATTCTCTAACTGCTAGCACTTAGTTACAGAATTCCTTCTGCGTTTATAGGAAGGTAACCTTTGAATTAACTCATATAATCCTGTGATTATAGCTTAATATTTAGATAATGTATATATTTTGATATTGCAAAGTCTGTTAGGAACTAAATTATCACACTAAGCACTGATGTTTTACTGTTGCATTAAGAGCCTATATAATACTGACATATATAAGTATTCAGTAGAAGTTAGATTTCTAAAAATGAAGTATCCTGATTTTTTTAAAAACCATTTACAGAATTTTACTAAATTTTTTAAATGTAGAGACAGAAATCGTTGGCAATAATTTAAAATTTTGAGATTTTTCTCGGTAAAGCTAACTGCTTTCGATGTACCTGTCTTTTTATAAATCATAATATGCTTTTTGTATACTCACACTTACATTGGATAAAATATTTTGAACATTTTTTCATGATATCCTTTAAAAAGCAAACTTTCAAACATCTACTAAATTCAAGGGAATATAGCATAACGTTCTAAAAAGAAAAAAGTACGCATTTGCTAAAATGATTGTGGTAACTATTTTTGGACCCGTGATTAAAGTATTTTGAAAAGTAGAGTATCTTTATGTCTTTACAGGGTTGGATTTGGTTTAGATTATATTTTTATATTCGTGTTAGTACTTTGTACTTTTTAAAATGATCAATATGCAATATTTAGAAAATTTGTTGTTTGGAGGCAGGAGCTTTAAAGTGGAGACGATTATTATAATCTTAATCTCTGGTACTATATTGTTGCTTTTTGTTGTTCCCTCTCTATTTTCTTGTAGTCATTAGAAAAATACTGGAACTAGAAGAGCCTATATGTTTATTTGCAGGGACAGCAAGGAAGGGGGGAAGCTGGTGTCCTACTCCACAGCCAGTCTTGGGGTTAGAGGAACCCTGAGAAATAGAGTAGGTGGTGGCAGCTCAGAAGAGAAGAAACAGGCCGAATACCTGGCACCTGGAAGAAGAAGGAATATAGTGCACAGGGGAGTTGGCCCAGGACAGAGAAGTGGGCCTAGTTAAAAGAGGCTTGAGGCCCACATGGGGCCCTGACATTTTTTTACCAGTACATCTGAGCTCTTGTAGATCCAATTTTTAGTGGTGGAAACATAACTTGAGGAGGACTCAGAGAAGCATTGTCATTTGGATTGAAACTGAAGAGGCTCTGGGCAACTCACCAGAAGTCTAAGGGACTCTGTTCCTAAAAGTAAGTGTTTTACACTATGACCATCTCAGCTTCTTCCTTCCTCTCTCTGAATTGTCTCTTCGCTTTTGATTTTGGCCCTAAGTTAAACCTAAGAGCTCTAATTTCTCTGTTATTTTCCTACCGCTGTTTCTGAAATTCAGAGTGAAATCCATGTTTGGATAGAAAAATGGAACAGGGCATTGTTAATAGGACAGATATTGATTGCACCACAAAATATTGGTACTGTGAGGAAAACAGGATTAAAGGACTGCAGAACACTATTGAAAAGCAAAAGCTTCAGTAGTTGGAAGAAATAATTCTCCTGAACTGACATGTTAATTAGTAGTTAGGGTAATTTCAAGGATAACATTGGTGAGTACAAAAATGGGGACTGGATAGCGGCAGAGCAGAAGGATGCAATTTGCAAATGACTTGTTTCTGTGACGGACAGACAGGCTTTGTATCCCTTGGGTCAGACTGACCTTTGAACTGATTCTTTCTCACCAATTGTGAGGCCAAGTTTAAGCCATCCTAGACAGTTGAGACATATGAGACATGTTTTTCTCTTTAAACATCCAGAGAAGATTGAGTCCCTGGTCTCCCTTTAAAGTCTTTACTGACAATATCTTTTTTTTTCTTTAAAAAATATCTAGTTCAAATCCATTATATTGCAGCAGAAGACCATTTCCTTTGGCTGTATCTTTGGTAGATTATGTCTTTCTGCAGACTGCGGTTACATTCATAGCATGTATTTCAAAATAAAGTGTGATTTCATTCCTTCAATTCCTCAGTGGATAAATTTTATTTTAAAAATTATGGCATTTCTGTGATTGAATTTCAATTTTGTATTTGCCGGCCTTAATTAGTTTAAATTTGATTAATCTCTTTTTTAGTCTAGAATCTAAATAACTACATAGTTCAAGTACCTAAAACTTTCTATTTTGTGCTTTTGTGAGAGAAACAATGATAAATGTCAAACTGACAGGGAAAATTAAAAAAAAAAATGCTGTGATGTCAAATTATTTTCCAAGGTGCTCCACAGTCTCCTTCTTTAAGTGCCCCAAATATAAACATAAGAAACTTTATGAAATTAATAACCATTCTGAATCATCGGAGAAATTGAAATATTTAATATAGCTTATGTGAAGTTGGTAATCAGTGTATAATGAGACTAGTATCTTATAGGGAATAATACTTTATTAATTCAGATAGCAAATATTCAGAAATGGAAATGATAGAGCTATTTGTTTTGGTTTTGAACTGTGTTCTAACTGAGAACCTATAAAATAATACCAAGTCCATGGCAGGCCTTCAGGTATAATAGATAATATTATATTTTCCTAGGCTATACTGTAATAGTTCCTTTAGGAACTCATAGGTTTCATTGTAGAGTGCTATGAAAAAGATTTCACATAGTAGAAAGAGAATTAGGTGTTGTAATAGGAGTCTGGTAAGCTGGGTTCATACTTCATTTCAACTCTTTCAACATCCAGCATTCAGCAAATGTTTATCAAGCACCTTATATTATACAAGGGTTGAGCTAGGTACTGGACATACATACAGTGGTGAGTAAAAGAGTTGTTTCTTTGTTTCTTCTGTAAAATTGTACTGTTTTGTTTTCATATCAGAAACACTTTGAATTGTACCAAATTCTAAATGTGAGGTAGTGTTAGTAAATCTTTCCTTTAGAAAAAATGAAACTTCCCCATTAAAAAAATATTGTTTATAACTGAAAACAGTTAGGATCTGACTTTTGGTAAAAAGAATAAGTTATTTCAGTTTCTCAAAAATGGGAATAAACTATAAAATTTACAACTTGAAGAAACCTTAAAGAAACCAACTATTAGTTGATCAAAATCTTTTCAGTATCATTGTTGTCTTGTCGTACTTGCTTTATGTCTTCTTATTTGAGGTTTGGCATTGATCTAGACTCTTGGTGTGGGAATGGGAGAAAAAATTGAGGACTATCTAAATAAATCTGTTTTTTGGAAATGCATGGTTCCTGTGTCTCCCCTACGTATGTTGAGTAGCCTTTCCAGCAACCATGCAGTTGTTCAGAGACTCCTTATTCTAGGAGTTTTGTTTGTTTTTTCCTGTTCCCTTTATCTTGGGTTAGAGTACTCACATGGGTTCGTTGTTTTCAGGGAAATGTTGAAGGTGATTAATGTCTGGATAGTCTGGAGTAGTGGTTTTAAAAATATGTTCTGGGAAATCCCATGTGTGGGGGCAGTCCTTGAGACCCTTTTAGTTAGTCTGTGATGTTCACACTATTTTCATAATTATCTTAAGATGTTATTTGCCTTTTTTAGTGTGATGGTGCAGAGGCAGTGGTGGGTAAAACTGCTTGGCACCTTAGCCTGAATCAAAGCAGTGGCACCAACGTGCTGTATTCTTTGTAATCTTCACTGTGCACATGCAGTAAAAATAACACCAGTTTCACTTAAGAATGTCCTTGATGAAGCAGTAAAAGTTACTAGTTTTATTAAATCTGTGTCTTTTCAAATATTCCGTGATAAAATGGAACTCTACAGAAGAAAGTACTTCTACTGTATACCAAAGTACAATGATTGATTAAAGGGAAAGCAGTTTGACTGTAGTTTGACTTTAAGCAGAACTAACTGCTTTTTTCATAGAACATCATTTTTACTTGACAACTGTGTAGTTTGACTTTAAGCAGAACTAACTGCTTTTTTCATAGAACATCATTTTTACTTGACAAACTATGGTTATTCAGACTTGGATATTTAGCATATATTTTCTTGAAAATGAATGCATTGAATCTGTCACTTCAAGGAATACAGTTGATAGTATTTGATGTCAACATTAGAAGTCATTAAGTGAAAATTGGAATTTTGGAAAACTTGTAACCACAATACTGAGCTTTAGAGCTTCCGAGTACTTTAAAGATTTTTCTGATAAGATTGGTGGTGATATAAATGGGTATAATAATTTCTGATATTTTATCATGAAATGTGTCAACATTTGGAAGATCTGCATAACTCAGTAAACCAATATGTACAGTTGATTTCAAGGGAACAGTATGAAAACTACGTTGATGTGGTTTCAGATTCTACATTACAACTAACTTTTGAGAAACAACTATTTGTGTTTTTACGTAGTATCAAAGCAGAATATCCACAATTATCTGAAAATGCTAGGGGCTGGCTGGTTAGCTCACTTGGTTAGAGCACGGTATTGTGACACCAAGGTCAAGGGTTCAGATCCCCATACTCACCAATAAATAAATAAATGAATGAATGAACGAATAGAAAGAAAGAAAGAAAATGCCATTAAGTTACTCCTTTCTTTTTTGACTACATGTCTGTGGGGGTCCAGATTTTTTTCAAGTTCTTGGACCAAAACAACATTTTGCAACAAATATGACTGGAAGAATAGATATGACAATCCAGATGTCTTCTCCTAAGCCAGATATTAGAGGTTTGCAAAAATATACAACAGTGCCACTCTTCACACAAATTTTTCTCTGTTTTGGAAAATATAGGGTGTTTTTCATAAAAATATGTCATTTAACATGTGATACATTTGTTATATTTTAAATGAGCTAATAAATATATATCCAAATTTTTTTCTTATTTACAGATAAAGACCCAAATAAACAAAAGCTGTTTTAACTTTTAAGAAAATAGAGAGATCCTGAGACCAAAAAGTTTGTGAGCTGCTAGTTTTACTAGCTTAGATTTCTGCATACAACAGATTTACTTCAGTAGGCATTCTTTTTGTTTCTTTTATCCTTTACTGTGTGAGATCTGACAACTGGTGACCTACTTATTAAACTCAGTGGCCTAATCTCAGTCTTCTTTCAATGGCACTTCTGAAGTATTTGATGTTGCTGGCCTTTTTTGTTAATTGAAACTCTTCTTCCTTGATGTTTCTAACACTCCTGTTTTTCCTAGTTTTCCTTTTATGTCTCTGAAATCAATTTCTGCATATCCAAACCTGGTTTCTTCTTTATATTCCTTAGTTTATATGTGGCATAAACTCCTTTCTGGAACCTAAGGTAGAAACTGTAATTGTCTCAGCTTTGATTCTAAGTCATCGTCATCCCTCATGTTGTCTTCCTCTGGATTGTCTCTCAAATCTTTTTTCCAGTTTATGTAGCTATAGATTAGAAGCCCATATATCATTTCTCTCATGAGATATTGGACAAATTGGTCTCTCCTCCAGAATACTGTTAACATTATCTTCATTATCTTTTTTGAAATCTATCTGATTATATTGGTTTTTGCATATTTTAAAAAAAATTCAGGGCCTTCAGTGGCTACTGCTTAAAGGATAAGCTCCTGAGAATGGTGTTCAAGGCTATAATAATCTATTCCTAAACTACCTTCCTGGTTTCATTTCCTGCTGCTTATTCCAGTCAATCCTGTGCTGTATTAGTACTGAAGCATTTTTATAGGATGGTAGTTCTCAGAGAAACCCTCTGGAATTACCCTCCTTCCACCCCCAACTATCATATCGATTCTGTGTGTGTGTGTGTGTGTGTGTGTGTGTGTGTGTGTGTGTGTAATAATCCTAGAGAATCAACATATTGTTGTGTAATTGTTTAAATGCTTACCTGCCCTACAGGGCAGAGACTGCCTTATTCACTTTGTTATCCCAATAAGCTAGTAAAGTACCTGAAACAGTGTAGGGATTTAAACTTTTTCAATTAATGTTCCTTTACATTTGACTTGCTATTTGATACTTTACATTGCCTTTCCAATAATTTTTAAGACTGTGTTTGTAGAAATATCAGGCTATTTTGTCTGTAAGTTGTAGGTATATATTGTTTTAGTTTTATTTCAAGGATAATTGAAAGATGTGTAGATATTCCAGATATTGTATATGAAATCCTTAGTGTTTTTAAGATACAACCCTGGAAAGTTGCACATTTATTTTTATGATCTCATTTACAACCACTTATTTAGGTCTTGTTATTCAGATTATTGAAATTTATGTAAGATAGCTAAAAATTAGAAGTATTTCTTGACTAAATTAATGAAGTCACAAAACAGTATAGC